CATGTTGTGTCCACAGATGATCCGAATAAAGGTCGAAACGTCGGCAAAAAATGAAAAAGATATTTTTCTAAACTATCTCATTCTTGACCGTTCCTCACGAATCCAACAAATTATTAAACAACATGTCACTAAAAAATTAAAAAAAACACCCATTATCTGTTAAGTTGTACCTTAACTATAGTCCCATCTATGACACTTGTCGAGTTGTTTATTATATACTATTGGGATATTAAAAAATATATTGTAGAATTATAAGGGTTGGAAATATCAGATCGAGTCTAATATTACCGGTGAATTACTCCCTGAGTTAGAACGTGGCAATAACGACCTTTGGATACTATCTTGGATACTATCTAAAAAAAAATTAAAAAAAAAAAATTGAACTCCACACTCACTCCATCATTCATAATTTCTATATTGATTTTTGTTTAGTAAGAATATATGTGAAGTAAATACCACTCAATTTTAAAGTTCGCCATGTGAAAACTAAAAAGTTCAGATGTATTATCAATTTTTTAATAAGGTCAAAATAACAGATATCGCTGTGTTGCTCTATTTTTATTTCTTTGTAACTTATATGGGAGAAATGCGTTCTAATCTAACCGTAATAAATATTACAATATTTTTCGTTTAATTTACACATGCCTACACTTTTTAAGGTCAAAATAATCACGCCTGAGGAATTATAATAAATTTTAGTTTAAATAAAATTCTCAAGAGATCTTATGTTTTTGTTCACTTGCATTGATAAAGATAAATGTAGACGTTCGAGTCGCTGAATGGTTACGGATTATCCCAACGAGTGTTTTGTAATCTCAGATAACGTAATAACGTGGTTAGACCGAAAAAACCATAATGAGCGGAAGTGTAGTGACAAGGGGGTACGAAAGGAGAACTATCATCTGTGGAAAATCGTCTGCATGGGACAGTGATTTCCAACCAGCTAAAAACTTCGACAGTTCATGACCTTTCCAACGGTTTCGAACCTTCGATTATTTTGATTATTGATGGGCAATTTTAGATGGAAGTTGCCAAAAACGTGGTACGGGACGTATCCTGAGAATTAAATGCACGGCCCAAGAGTTGATCGGGCCGTAAATTAATAATTAGCAAATGCATTCTGAAATTATTTATTAGTAAAGAAACAAACACTTCTTCATAATAAAAATTAATCCATTTGTAAAGAACTTAAAACTTATTAAAAGGTGAGACTAATATTAGAAAAAAGGTAGGAAGTTAAATAGTTATCGTAGGGGCAATTAAACAATGGAGGACAATTTGAAAACTTTCATTTTCATTTTTTCTTTTATTTGAACATAAGGTAAAGAATAATTTTTTTTATATTTTGATTACAATCTGTAATTATTATTTACAATATGTAATAAATTGAAAACTAAATAATAAAATACCAGATGGCTATTGACCGGCGATTTTTAGAGCAAAAATCGAATAATCTAAGGGGAAATTCTGTGCTAAATCTAAAAATGGTGCAAACATTTGGTAAATGTTACGGTAGGTGGAGAAAATTCACGAAAATGTATTTTTTAATAATCACTAAAAAAATTGAAGAAATCATTTACTAAAGTAATAAATTCGTTGTTTAGTATTACCACCAACTTATCACTATTCAAAACTCTATTAAAACCCACTAAAGAAAGACTTGCGAAACCAAAGACACATGTGATAATTGTCATTCCTTATTCGCATTCTTTTAAATAAATAATGTAAATCAACTCTAAATAATATTAAAAAGTATAATTAATTAAACTTTAAATAAATAATTATTCGGAGATCGTGAGATGCGGTCTGGTGTGATGTAGGTATTAGAAAAATATTTTCTTTATCGTGCCAACGTTTCAACCTTTATTGAGATCATCTTCAGGGCCTGGGTTATATAAGCATGGAAAACAAACACTTTGAGTGAGTACTAATCCTTTGGATGGAATCTAACATTTTCTAGTATTGCATGAATTCATTCTTTTTTAAATCTAAAATTTTCTAGCATTGTATAAATTCAATTTTTTTTAAATTCTAAAATTTTCTAGCATTGTATAAATTCAATGTTTTTTTAAATTCTAAAATTTTCTAGCATTGTATAAAATCATTTTTTCTCACATCCTACATGTATTTGTAAAATTTAAACAATGCTCTCTCTCTCCCCCCTCTCTCTCTCCTCTCACTCTCTCTCTCCTCTCTCTCTCTCTCTCTCTCACTCTCTCTCTCTCTCTCTCTCCCTCTCCCTCTCTCTCTCTCCCTCCCCTCCCTCCCTCTCACTCTCTCTCTTTCTCACTCGTTCTTCATCTCCCTCTCCCTCGCTACAAATAAATCTCACTTCAAGTGGAATCAAAAACTGGTCCATTGGGTACGGGAAGAAAAAATTCTCGCGTGAAGAATATTAACAAACCCTCTTATAACAAAGTTGGCCACATTAANTGTGTGAATAGTGAGAAAGACATAATATACAATAACGCGTACATACTTTATAGTATGTATATAGTATATTTGTTGCGCGCCCTCCTGGGTGGCTACGTATGAGGCTTAAAATTAAAAAATTAAAACTATATTTCTTCAGTCCTACCATTTATTCAATTATTTTTATTTTTATTACATTAATTTTTCACCCGTTCTTCCACTCTCTCACTCTTTCACTCTCTCATTCTCTCACTCTCTCACTCTCTCTCTCTCTCTCCCTCTCTCTCTCACTCATTCTTCATCTCCCTCTCCCTCACTTCAAGTGGAATAAAAAACTGGTCCACTGGGTACGGGGAAGGAAAAATTCTCGCGTGAAGAATATTAACAAACCCTCTTATAACAAAGTTGGCCACATTGACCGAATATTATTGATAAAAAGATTTTGTAGCAACAAAAAATCCCACTTCCAACTACCTTATTGTATGAGCTTGCACCTCAATTAAGTTCGATTAAATTCAATCAATTACTAATATACAACGCAGAATACTTCGAAACTATCAGTGAATTCCAAATGAGTCATAACGTAAATGCTGAACTCGTATTTCCCTGGGCACACAGACGGATCAAAATATGAAACTGGGTAGAAGCGACATAACTGATACATGGAACAGAAAAATATTAAAAAAATAACTTAAACTTCTTTTCTATTAAACACTATATATTAAAGAAACTTTCAGATTTTATTAAAATAAATCTGATTAAGTGTTTTGCTTGACGTCTTTTTGAGCAATTTACGAGTAGCTTGTTGTCTCATTACGTAAATGTACCATGCGTGAAGAAGCACGCGAGAATGAATTCGGCTTCCCTTTCTAGCCCGGGCCCCGTGACCATTGTTTCCTAGCGATTTGTATTTTGCGCACAGCTTTCGTGAAAAGCCCGTGGTGAAGCCTTCTACGTCATGTATGACAAAATTAGAAAACAATCGGACAAAACGAAGGCAGCTGCTCGGCCCGTGCAAGACAGTGTACGCAGATGAAACCCCGTTCAATTCAAATTTGTGGTCGAATGCCTTCTAAGAGTGAATCGATGAATTTCCTGCAGGGGGGTCAAAAGGTGCAATTTTTACAACCGCAATCGTACATTGTACGTTATAAAAGCAGAATTGTACCGCAGTTGTGATTCACACCCAATTTTCAGAAACAGTGTTATAATCAATTTTGAGAGGAACAAGATTGCAAGACTCAACTCCCAAATATATAAAGAAAGAGGGATAAATAAAACGCTAAATTGTAAACACGGCTAAGATAATTTTGTTGAAAATATTCGTGACTTTACAAGGAAAAAATGCATTATAAACAGAAATAAATGACATAGAACAATGACACAATAGATGTGCCAACCAGAGGAAAACGCAAATTGTTCGAAATAGAAATTTTTGCTTGTGACATCTCTTCAACTTTCTAGTTATCCGTAGACACGTTCAAATGATTTTAACATATCTGGAAAAAATTTTATCCAAATACCAATTTGTATGGACTTCACGCTAATCACAGGAATTTTTACCCTTTATATCACTTTTGTTGATTATTTGAAGCTGGCCAGTATCCAACTGGAAACAAAAATTTATATTTAAAATAGTCAAAACTCCTCTTTTCTTATGTACTCTGAAAAAAGTGTATAGTCCTAATATATGAAAAAAGTTACTTTTACTTACTTTTTATATTCTACAAATTGGTTAATTAAATAATAACTTTCCATCCAAAAATGATTTCAGCGTTGTCTTTTTCAGGATCTTCAGGATTGAAAATTTATCAAATTAAAATTTAATTATAAAAGACTCAGTACACAAAATTTTAAATTGGGTTGTTGAGTATTTACCTATCTTTGTGTTGGTCTGTCAGGTTCGTTCGGAATTCGCCATCTTCAGTGTTGGGTCTGCATAATTTCTGTTAGATTCCTTGGTGTGTACGTTTCTTTCCCTAAATGACATTTTTTGTGATGTCGTTTTGTTTTGGATGTGTGTGTGTTTTGTTGTCCCTGTTGGTTTTGTTGCTGTTGTTTTGTGCTAATTTTTTTATTGTTTTTAGTTCGTTTTCATATTTTTCTTTTGTGGCAGACAAATATTTTTGATGCTGCCATTTTATGTCGGTGGGGGTGATCTGTCATTGTCATTGTTGATTTTTCTGTAAATGTCAGTTTTAGGGATTGTCGAGGTAATTTATACCGTTATTTTTTCTAGCTACATAAAAATCACAAGAGCATGACATTTTATGAAGTTTAATATCTAAAATTCTCAACTACAAAGAAAAGTTTGAAGCCATCTAACAGATAAAATTTCAATTTTGACTAGCAAGGTTCCTAACACAAAACTTAAATATGTTGCAAAAATATCCAACATTATCATTGGTAAACTGTGTCCCAAAGTTTCAATATCATTGAAAGGCAAAAACATTATGTTTGATTATAATAATTCTGATGATTGTATTGCATACTTTGTAATTTATGGTAAGCAATTTTATTAAATTATTGTAGTTAAGCTATTGTAGCTAGCTAAGCTATTTGATATTTATTTTGTGTATTGTTTTTAGTGTAAATATGTTAATTGCTGCGGTCAGTGGTGTGCTATGGCTGTTCACACCCTTGGTCCAGGCTGCAGTCAACAGCGCGCCACAGTTCCTGCCTGGAGGAGACATGAGCCGGTTCGCTTTGCTCGAAGACAGCCAGGTTGGTGCACCAGTATATAGACTCCAGGGAATAGACCCAGAAGGATCTCCTGTTCACTATTCAATCAGTGGACAGCACTTTCAAGTGGACAGGATATCAGGAATCGTCTCGTTGGTCAAACCACTTGACAGGGAGGTGGAAGATATCCTTGAAGTCATCATCAGCATCACTGGTAATTATTTAAATCAAATAAAACTAATTTAGTTAATAAAATAAAACGTATTTTTGTTAATTAAAAGAATATAAATATTTGCAGATGAGTCTGTAGGAGGAGCTGAGCCAAATACTGTCTCTCTGAGAAGAGAGATCCCAGTTCTAGATGTCAACGACAATTCTCCAGAATTTCTCGGAAGACCGTATTCAGTCGTTCTGATGGAAAATACGAAACCCGGCTCAGAAGTTTTTTCCAATATAACTGTCGTCGATGCTGATTCAGGGCACAATGCTGAAATAACACTTTCTTGTATATCTGGAGGATGTGACACATTTTCCATCACCACAGAAAAAGTATGCCGTATTATTTAAGTTTTCTTTAAAATTTTCTTTGGCAAAGTCTTAAATGGGGGAGGTTTTTTTTTTAGATAAGTGAGGGAAATTACAAAGGAGTCCTTGTGCTCAAGAAAGCGCTTGATTTTGAGCAAGTATCATCTTACAGCTTGTCTTTAAGAGCTAGTGATAATAATAAAGACAAGCCTTTGCATGCAATGGCAACAATTGCGATCAGTGTGAAGGACATTCAAGATCAGCCTCCAGTTTTTCTTAACGCACCTTACTCAGCAACACTGCAGGAAAACACTTCACCGGTACAACTTGATAATATTTTGCCTGAAAATAATATATAATAATTTATATTTATAATTTGTTAGGGTTATCAAGTACTTCAGGTCAAGGCAAAAGATGGTGACTTGGGCGACTCAAGGACTGTCATTTTGTCCCTTGAGGGCGACGAACTAGGCTACTTTAAAATGTCTAGGAACAACCTTATAACTAGTCACGTCCCAATTGATAGGGAGCATCCTTTAATCTTACAAAACGGTGGAGTTTACACCTTTGATGTTGTGGTACATAACCTTTTTTATAAATTAAACTTTAATTATATGTTATAAATGACAAATAAAATGTTTTATTTGAACTAATAACATTGATTTGTAAATATTTTAGGCAACAGAACTGATTAATAATGAATTGCCTGGAGATTTCAGCCACGAGAGAGTTACAATTGTGATCACAGACGTGGATGATCAAATACCAAAATTTAATGAACGATATTTTAACATAAATGTTTCTGAAGATATTGGTAATACATCATTAAAATATATATAACATATAATTATCTTGATTTCTATACACAATATGCCAAAAATTGAATGTGAATTTTTTTAAATAAGTATTGTAATTATATTTTTAGGTTTAGGGACACCACTTCCTGGGCTCAATATGGTTGTTTCTGATGATGATTTAGGTGAAAATGCCCACTATACTCTACAACTAAAATCGCAAGACAGAAGAGCTGTTCAGTGGTTTATGGTAGAACCTGAATCAGCTTACGGCAGGACACCAGTCGTTGTAAGGCTAAAGGACAACACCAGTTTTGATTTTGACACTGGTGTAAAACAAGTCCAATTTACAATCTCCGCTTTGGTGCAGACAAAACAGGTATTAGGAAAAATATCTCTCATTTTTTTAATCAATAATTGTTTGAAAATAAATTTTAGGGCGAAAGTTTTGAAGTTTCTTCCAGTGAAGTTGTTGTGAATATTCTCGATGCAAATGACAATTCGCCTATTTTCAACCAATCTAGCTATAGCTTTACTATACCAGAAAACTTCACAGTAGGCTCTATGATAGCAAACATTACTGCTTCAGATATCGACAGTGGTGAATTTGGGACCATCACTTATTCACTAAGAGGTTTCGGAACTAACAAATTCAGTACAAATCCAAAAACTGGAAATTTATACCTTTCAAACAGTAAGCACACTTGGTGATTCAGCATGTTGATTTTAAAAAAAAAATAATGAATTAATTTTTAGAGGTGGATTATGAAAAACAAAAATCCTACTCTCTGAGCCTCGAGGCAAAAGATGGAGGCGGCAGAGTAAGTACAGTCGCAGTTCTGGTAACTTTAACTGATGTAAATGATAACCCACCGATATGGGAAATGCCACAATATCAGAGGACTGTCAGAGAAGGTGCTACAAGTTTTCAGCCGCAATTTTTCATAAGGGTAAGAAGAGAAAAACATATAAGTAAATAAAATTGCCTGATTTAATAATTAATATCCAAAGGCTTTGGATGCTGATAAAGACAATGAAAGCAAGTTGAGGTACAAAATTCTCACAAGCAACTCTGATGTTCTGGGCCTGAATGAAAATACTGGTGAAATCCTTATCTTGAGTCCTGTAAGTTCAGAGCATACTTCAAGAGGACAATATGAATTGATGATCAGAGCATTTGACGACGGTAAATTCAAGATTATTATTTTATATAAAATAAAAACACATTACTTAATAATGGAGAAGATTTTGCTAATGTAAGATTTATTTTAAGATTATTAATACTATAAATGTTCAACTAAACTGTAAAAGTCTGTACTGACTCCTTCAGCATGATTACTGGTGTCCGTGAGTAAGGACCCCTTTCATTCAAATTAGATACTTACAGAATATTGTAAATTAAAGTTTTATCAATTAGCCAGTCCATGCCTATTTAGACGAATAAATGTGAAAACATACATTCGATTTACATAATTCCCGTTATATACAAAATCAGAAACACAAAAATCAAATTGGACAGAACAGAACCAATAGTTCAATTATTAAGGTTTTTAGTTGAGATAAAAAAAGTCAGTGTCACGAGCGGGATTCGAACCACCGACTTTCGGCTTGATACGCTGCTCCTCTACCACTTGAGCTATCGTGACTTCGATCTGATCGGGCACTAACTTCCCATCTCAACCCCACCTTTTGAATTTTCCCTCCTTTTTGCCATTTTTCAAATGGCGTGTAATCTATTGGATTCTCGGCGACAAATGAGATGGCTATGGAGAGCTTTAGTGAAGTATACTTCATTTTAATTCATTAAATTGGCTAATTTTCGTGGTCCGCCTGACCAATTAATGGCATTCAATTAATTAAGGTTTTTAGTTGGGATAAAAATGTCAGTGTCACGAGCGGGATTCGAACCCACGACCTTCGGCTTGATACGCCGCTACTCTACCACTACCTACCGTGAGCTATCGTGACGTCAATCCGCTCGGGCACTAGCTTTTTTATCTCAACTAAAAACTATAATTAATTGAATGATATTTTAATTGGTCAAGCTGACTACGAAAATTAGTGAATTTAGTGAGTTAAAATGAAGTATACTTCACTAACGCTCTTCGTAGCCATCTCATTTGTCGCCGAGAATCAAATAGATTACACGACATTTGAAAAATGGCAAAAAGGAGGGAAAATTCAAAAGGTGGGGTTGAGACGGGAAGTTAGTGCCCGAGCGGATAGGTAGTGGTAGAGTATCAATTATCAAGCCTTATCAAGCCGAAGGTCGTGGGTTCGAATCCCACTCGTGACACTGACTTTTTTATCTCAACTAAAAACCTTATTTAATTGAATGACAATAATTGGTCTCACGAACCACGAAAATTAGTGAATTTAAAGAACCAATAGTTACGTCAAACTCGAACCAAAGTCAAAAGTAATAATTTGAACATTTGAACACAAATTATTAATAAATTAATTGAAAGAGTGAGGTTGTTTTAACCTGCACAGTTTGGATATGTTTGTTTTATTATTTGATAGCGGGGAACAGATGTTTGGTTCAGCATCTTTATAGAGTCAGTATTTAGTTATAGTAGCTGTACTGATAGAAAATCCGAATTTGGATACCACACCACACTGAAACACAAACCTCTTCATGAATTTTTTTAATAATGCATAACAACGTTCAATTTTACAGTTGATCTATTTCCTCTTTTTTTATTATTTTTATGTTTTATGTATGTTCAGTTTAATTAATAAATTGTAAAAATGCACATCCACTCTTCATATTTTTCTTTCCTCTTGATTATTTGAACATCTTGATGAACTTATTGTTCGAGACCCTTCAGTTTTGAATTATCCAGAATTGACTGTACAAAGAGAGTAATGAAAAAGCAGGCTTAACCTCCATGATTCATCCCTCTGATGCTAAAAGTGCACTAAAAGCCAACATATTTTATGTCTAATTTATTACAGGAGTGCCACCATTTCATGCTGATGTCCCTGTCTTTATCCGTGTGGGAGTGCCAGGGAACCAGAGACCAGTTTTCCGAGGTGTGCCATATAATGTGACCCTTCCTGAGACAGCAAAAGAGGGAGATGTTTTAGTGACAGTGAGAGCGACAGACCCTGATGGTCCCAATTCAGCTGTACACTATAAGCTTTCAAATGGAGCTGACAACTTTCAAATAAACCAGAGGCAAGTTGTTAAAATAAACTTATTTTTAAACATTTTATATAATGTAATTTGGTCATTAGTGGTCACATGTAAACCCAGCAAGGATAGGCTGACCAAAATGATCAGTAACGCCCAAATTAAGGGTTCATCACCTCACAGACCACACTGATAAATCTCTCTAGTTTAAGCTAAGTAATTTTATTTTATCTTTAGCTCTGGTGTAATAACAGTTGCAAAGGCAGCAATTCTTGACCCAGATGTTACGAAAACAATGAGGTATGCTGTTACAGTACTAGCAGTGGATAGTGGTGCTCCTATACGAGAAACTGCACAAACGACAGTCACTGTAAACATATTAGACATAAACAATAAAGCTCCTTATTTTCTTCCTGACTCAAATTATGTCCGACATATTTCTGAAAAGTCCGATATAGGTAATGCGATGATGGCATCTGAAAACATAATTATAAAAATAATTTTATAATTTTTTTAAAGGGAAGACTGTCGTTATGGTGAAAGCTATAGATAGTGATCATGATGCAGATATAGAATATAGCATCATTGATGTAAGAGCAATGCACAAAACTGGAGTTCCTGTTCTGAAAGGAAGCGCTTATGATTTTGAACATGCTTTTGTGTAAGTAGAATTTGAAATACATTAGGATGATTGTATGTTCATGTTAATTTTTATTTTTCAGGATCAATTCAAGCACAGGAGAAATAAAAGTAAACTCTCATTTGAGCCACCAAGCAGCAGCTGTAATTATCCTGAAAGTTGGAGCAAAAGACAAAAATGCTGTTGTTAACCCTGACAATCAAAGGACTGAAGGTGAAAATTATAGTTTCACAAATACATATGAATTTAATAAAAGAATGGAAGAAGAAATATTTTTTGTTGTTAGTTGAAGTCACCTTGTACATTCAAGCTTATGATGAGCAAAATCCTAAATTCACTGTGGGTGGCTGGACACCTTTTGAGCCCATCATCAACATCAGTTTTCAGGAGGAAAAACCAGCAGGAAGCCCAATATTCACGTTATCAGGAATTGACCCTACTAATAATTTTCCATTAACAAGATTCAGTTTGATACCACCAATTCCACCATCAATCAGCATGGACAGTGGAGGAAGTATTGTCACTCTGAAAAAAATTGACTACGAATCGATGCTGGACAAGGTGAAATTTTTTAAGATATAATAATAAAATTAAATTATAATTTTTGTTTTTTGTTTAGACTATTTCATTTAGAGTCGAGGCGACATCAGCAGATGGTCAACGGTCAAGTATTGCACAAGTCCATTTAAACATTGAAGACATAAACGATAACACTCCTCAGTTTGAAAAAACTGTAATTTTATTAAATCACCTTTAACATATTTATGTTAAATATTTACTAAAATTTAATTTTTTATAGCATTATAAAGGGCAGATTTATGAATCAGCAGCTAAAGGGACTATTGTGTTGAATGTTAAAGCAGTCGATGGAGATGAGTTCAATACCACCTTAGGCTATGGAGATATAAAATATTCTTTAAGTGGTGAAAATGCCGCTTTATTTAGCATTGATCCAAATTCTGGGACAATCACTGTAAACATGATCTTATCAAATGTGTCATGAATAGGACAAAATAATTTAATAAAAAATAATATTATAGGTTTCTGGAAATGGGACAATAGACAGAGAGAAACAGGACACAATGCAACTTGTCGCATTTGCTGCTGATACCCCACAAGGTGGAGCAAACCAAAGAAGAAGTTCTGTCCCTGTAATTAATTAGTTTTGCATTATTAAACCAATATGTAAATTTTATTAATAATTAATTGTCTATTTATAGATTGTTATTGAAGTGCTAGATATAAATGATAACAAGCCATTGTTTGAAATGGAAGAGTATTCAGCAGTGGTGTTAGAAAATGTACTCCAGGGTACTTCCGTGCTTAATATTTCAGCTATCGATTTTGACAGTGGAGCATGGGGGTTGGTAGAATATGAAATTGTCGACCAGCCTGAAGCAGCAGGTATTAAACAGAACTCACTATACTTTATGTAGTTGTGCTATTTATGTTTTTGTCTTTTTCTCTTATTATTCAGGACTATTTAAAATAAACAAAACAACTGGAGAAATTGTAACAAATATGCCACTGACTGGGAAAGGGAGAGCAGAATCTTATGTAATAACAGCAAGGGCACTAGATCATGGGGAGCCTAGCTTGTTTTCTGATGTGCCAGTTAGAATTTTCATCGGCGATGTTGTCACAAATGATGGCATTCCAATGTTTCTTCATCCAACCCTCAATGAAATGGCATATATATCTGAGGTAAATATCATTTCATAAAATGTTATGAAGAATTTTAAAAAAAATTAATTTTTTAAAATGTTATTTTGGTGAATACCAAAAACTGGAGGAGTTCCCCTAAGCAATGCAGCTCTATAGAGCTTATTACTCTCCTTCTTGGTTCTATTGTGGGAGTTCACCACACATGTATTGAGTGTTTAATAGTGTATTCAGCAGTGGTGTACCAAAGCACCACTTTTGTACACCACTGGCAAATGATACTGAAAATGTACCACAGTGAACAGTAAATTGCTAGTCAAAGCAGTGAACTTTTGTGTGTTCCTCTGTTCTTTCATCGAAGAAACTCTTTTCGAAGGAGGTTGGGACCAAATTCATGGTCGCTGAGTTCTGATCACACCCCAGACCTTGCATTATCGATGATTGACATGTTGTCCAGTTATTAGTCCCCTGAGGCGTTAGAAAAAAAAGTCCAGAGGCGAAGGTGAAAATTGAACCCACAACCACAGGATCAACTAGCCTAGAGATGCCATAACCACTTGGCCACCATTGTTCACTAGCATTTTTTACTTGTAAACAAATTTAATCAACAATGTATGAACCATTTGCCTACCAGTTGCCATCTTCAATGTAATTTTGTAATTCCGTCTTCCCAGAACTTTTCAAGTTTTTGGGCGATGACGAACCCCTTGATGTGTCTTCTGCAGTCCTCAATTAAAGTAAAGTTTGTTCATTAACTGAATTCACCAGAGCCCAGTATAAGTGAAAATCTGAACAGACAATGTTAGCCAAATATGGTGGGTGGGGTAGAACATACCAGGACAACAGTTCATGCAGACGCGTAGGGGCGAGCATTATCTTGGCAGAAAACAAATCGCTTTTAGATTGCGAATGCAGGTTGTTCTTGATCACTTTAATTGCTCCAATTGTGTGCAGTAAAACACTAGCATTAATTTCCTATTTTTCATGGTCCACTGCTTGACCAATTAATATCATTCTATTAATTAGGGTTTTTAGTTGAGATAAAAAAGTCAGTGTCACGAGCGGGATACGAACCCACGACCTTCGGCTAAATACGCCGCTGCTCTACCACTTGAGCCATCGTGACTTCGATCCACTCGGACACCAATTTCCGATCTCAACCTATCTTTCGAATTTTCCCTCCTTTTTGCCATTTTTCAAATGTCCTGTAATCGGCGAAAAATGAAATGGCCACGGAGAGCTTTAGTGAAGTATACTTCATTTTAATTCATTAATCTCACTATTTTTCGTGGTAAGATTGACCAATTAATAACATTCAATTAATTAAGGTTTTTAGTTGAGATAAAAAAGTCAGTGTCATGGGCGGGATTCGAAAGGTGGGGTTGAGATGGGAAGTTAGTTCCCGAGTGGAACGAAGTCACGAGAGCTCAAGTAGTAGGGTATCAAGCAGAAGGTCGTGGGTTCGAATTTCGCTCGTGACACTCACTTTTTTATCTCAACTAAAAACCTCAATTAATTTAATGATATTAATTGGTCAAAAGGACCACGAAAAATAGTGAGTTTAATGAATTAAAATGAAGTAAACTTCACTAAAGCTCTCCGTAGCCATTTCATTTGTCGCCGAGAATCAAATAGATTACACCACATTTGAAAAATTGCCAAAAGAGGGAAAATTCAAAAGGTCGGGTTGAAATTGGAAGTTAGTGCCCGATCAGATCGAAGTCACGATAGCTCAAGTGGTAGTGTAGCGGCGTGTCAAGCCGAAGGTCGTGTGTTCGAATCCCACTCGTAACACTGACTTTTTTATCTTAACTAAAAACCTTAATTAATTGGACTAGCATTAATGATTTTGTTGGGTGAAAAAAGCTTATATTAAAGCACTTATTTCTAATTTCACTAAATGCATTTCCTTCTTGGGATGTGATCCACCTTTTGGAGTTGTAAACAGGGGGTCACTGTTTTGTTCAAGATTTTTCTGTTTGAACCTCAAAGTACCTATTGAAACCCACAATAATCAAGCTTTTTAAAAATGGATCGTTTACATTGCATTTTAGAAAGGAATCCAAATACTGTCCAATTAATTGTCAACAAGGAACCATATATCGCTCTGATTCGATGCTCAGACTTGTGTGATAGATAGATATGTTAACTGTCTCTACGATGTTTTGTGTCTTTCAATGTGGGTTGTTTATGAGAAAAGCTTGAATTTGGTCATCATCAATGGTTCAAGTACTTTCAAAGCACTTTGTAACTATTTATGGTTAGTGCTTTCTCCTATACATCATACATTTTCCTAGCATTTTGAGCTTCAGTTTTTCCCTTTGAGCTAATACAAACTAGGATTAAAAATGACAAAAATGTACTTTTTTTTGTTCATTTTATCCTAGCAAAGCACCTTGCAAAAATGCGAGATGTCAAACGAAATTAACAACTAAAAAAACATTAAGTAATCCTTTTTCAGTATGTGTAAACGAAAATGGATAACTATAATAATAGAGTCTATATAAACAGACATTGCATCAAGACACAAGAGGGATAGAAACAAATTGTTGAAAAACACTGTGGAGTTTTTTTACAACCCAATTTAACAAATAAATTTGTTTGTTTTTTTATAATGAAATTTAACTATGGATTTTTGTAATAGGACTCAGCTATAGGATCACCAGTTTTTAGAGTGACAGCTTCTGATCCTGACAACCCAAATTCCCTAGAGGGTCAGGTTAGATTTAGCTTCCTGCCGGATGAAACTGATTCACAAGCTTTTAGCATTGATTCTGTAACTGGTCTCATAACAACAAAACAACATTTGGACAGGGAAATAAAGAGCAATTACACACTCATCCTTGTCGCACAGGATTCAGGCATGGTGCCACAACATGCGACAAGGCAACTTCATATAAGTGTCACAGATGTGGATGATAACAAGCCGTTATTTAAAAGATCAATTGTACGTAATTGTTTTGGGCTATTTTTCGGCTTATAACTAACTGAAAATTCTTTTAGGATGATGATCCTGTGGAGTTTACAATCAAGGAGGAACTTCCTGAGGGGACAGAGGTCGGAGTGATTAGAGCAGAAGATGATGATGTTGGAGATAATGCAAAAATTGGATACTTAATTACATGTATGGATTTATATCATAAAAGTTTATCACTGTCAATTTTTTTTTCCTGCAAGTACAAAATGAAATATTTTACAAGACAATTTCAACTCTAATAAGACATTAAATGTTCTCTTTTTTTTGTGGTGCTTTTGCCCTTTTTATCTTTTTTTTTTTTTTGATTTTTTGTTTTGATATAAAAGTCGTTGTGGTGAGGGGGGTTCTTCGACCTGACGTTCTTCTTGTTGCTGCGCTTCTCTTCTACTTGTTGCGTTGTGGTCTCGTTGCTCTCGTGGGGTACTTTCTTCTCTTCTGCGCCGCTTTTTTTTTTTTTTTCCTTTTTTTTGTTTTTTTGTTATTATTATTTTTTTTTCTCTTCTTACCTTCTTTATTTATTTGGTGTTATTGATTGTTATATGTGTTGCAATTTCTTAGTTTGGGGTTGATATTGTTGGTTATTTTTCGTTGGTTTTGTGTTTTTGTTTGCTCTAGTTTTCTTGTTGCGGCGTTTTATTTGTCATTTCTTTTTTTCGGTTTCTTCTCGTGTGTTTACCTTTTTTTTCTGATGTTAATGCGTTTGTGCTTTTTTTATTACACTTTTTTTAAAATAATTTTTCATTTTTTCATTTTTTTGGACTTTTTGTTAGTTTCGCTTTCGTTGTATATTTTCTTTGATTATACTTTTTCTATCTTGTCTTGGTTGGGCTGAGCCTTAGTAGTGTGTTGAGTGGGCTTGTAACTCATTGGTTTCAGCTGAATTTTCTAGTGTTTTTTTTTCTTCTTGATGTCTTTATGGCTCTCGTTGAGCTGCAGGTTGTGGTTTCGGTTCCTGCTTTGGCCGTCGCTTTTTCTTTTTTTGCAAGGTCTTATGTTACGTTATGATTTTTTTTCAACGTCGCTCGTTGAATTCTGCTCCATACATTCATTTCTTGTGTTGTTGTTTTTGTTTCTGTTCCTATATCTTATTTGATTGTAGGTGTTGTTTTTCCTCTTTCATTCATTTTGTCTATTTATGTATCCTAGCTTTTTTCTTTGTCATCTGTGTTTTTCCTTTATATTTTTACGTTTGTTATTGGGTTGTCCGTGAATTTGTGTGGTTTTTTCGGTTTTTATTTCACTATTTCTATATCTGCTTTTCTGTTTACTTTTACAGGTTTTTTATTGGATCTTAAGGTGAGCAAATAAAAATAAATAAATAAATTAATTAAAAATAATAATAAAAACTATGTTTTAAAGGTTACAAATTATTTTTATATTATATATTGTTTGCAATTTGATTATTTTGGTCTGTTTGATCTGCCTAACCCCGTTGGATTAGCTTTATCTGGTTGCTTCTCATCACCTCATTAGCTAGTTATATTTTTTAACAAACCCCTTTGCTTCGTAACAACCCTTCTTAAATGCCATTTTTCATTCAGAAGATGAAAAACTGTAAATATGGCATTTTTCAGCCAAATTAATCAATTTTTACAACCAATTTAATAATTGTCTCATTCAATTTAATAATCGTCTCACCAACTTAATAATTGTCCCTTTCATGATTTAACAGTCAGGGTAGAAACTAAAAAGAAGGTAGTGGTTTTAAAAACCTTTATTTAAATTTAGACATATTGGTAATATGTTAATAACCCTCCTCCCATCATGAAATTCGACATTCCCAAGATTTGAGTTGATGATGGTTTGGTCTAGTGCCAAAACGCATTTGAATAGCTCAAAAAAACCGGCGAGAGGAGATAAGTGACACTCTGCTGGTTCAACATGATTTCCAAGGTTTGTGGGACAACTGGACCAACAAGTGATTGGATTTAAAAAAAAAATCATCAAAATTGGTTAATAACTGCGGCCTGGGCATTGCACACAATATTTTATCACTCTCTCTCACACTCACACACACTCTCTCTCTCTCTCTCTCTCTCTCTCTCTCTCTCTATCTATCTATCTATCTATCTATCTATCTATCTATCTATCTATCTATCTATCTATCTATCTATCTATCTATTTATCTATCTATCTATCTACCTACCTACCTATCTATTTATCTTTCTATTTATCTATGTATCTATCTGTCTATCTATTTCTATCTTTCTCTATCTCTGATTTTTCTAACTCAAATATCATTTTCTATATTTCTGCATCACTAGTTTAAAACCATCTTGGGACTTAATCTTCATATGGAATGAATATTACAAACCAATATGTTTAAATTTAGGTAAAGGTTTTTGCAATTTCTAGCTCGTATTTAGTTTCTCCCTAACTGGAAAATCCCGAAAAAGGGATAATTATTAAATTGTGTGGTGATTAGTGACCGTTTGTCGATGGTTATTCAGAAGTCGTGAGATGCGGTCTGGTGTGACGTAGGTTTCAGAAAAAAAATTTCCTTTATCGTGCCAACGTTTCTATCTTTATGGAGATCATCTTCAGGGCCTGGGATTTATAAACATTGTTTAAATTTAACAAAAACATGTAGGATGTGGCAAAAAGTGAATTTATACAAAGCAAATAATATATATATATATATTTTATAGCCAACGTTTTTTCCCCTTCGTCGGCTCTTTTAACTTCAAAGACGCCGACTCCTTACACAAAAATGTCTTTTCTATACCGACTTCCTTCCCCAGCCCTTCAAAATCCAACTTATATAAATATAAAACAGCAATATCTCACTGGTTAGGGATGCATTGTATATATTCACTTTTTCCCACATACTAAATGTTTTTGTTAAATTTACACAATGTTTGTAAACCCCCGGCCCTGAAGGCAAGGAAAGACAGACCAAAATGATCATTATCGATCAAATTGCAAGATCATCACTCCATAAACAGCAGAGCAAAATCTCACAATTTCATGTTCATAACTTGTAGGTATACGTCGTGCGAGATCGAGGGCTTTTGAAATTTGTATTTTCTCAACCCCCTGGAGAAGTCAGAGCGAATTTAGCTGAATTTAAAAAAGATGTTGAGCAGACGCTAGCACTGCCAGCGTCGCTCAATATTTATGATACTCTGTTTTTATCCAAAAAGGATGGCAGCCTTGACTTTAGCGCTACAATGTAATTTTAAAATTACATAAATTATCAAAATTGAAAAAGCCTCACATTTTTTTTCTTCTAGTTCATGTTTTCAATTAGTCGGGGCTCACATGTTTGATGTCAAAGAAACGGAAAAATTAATGAGCCCTCAGAACAATCCAGACATTGCAGAGATTTACAGGAAGTACAATGTGCAAGGTGTTGAGGTGAGATTATAAAAGAAAAAAAAATTAAAAGCCTGTGTTTATGTATGTTTATTTCAAATCATTTTCTATTTTTATTTTTCTGTATCTTTAATTTTGTAACTCAAATATCATGTCTATCACTTTGTTAGTAAAGGATTTATTTCATAATCAATTGTAAATATAGTTATGCTGATAAAACTAACTGAATACTCTTAATAATAATCAAATGGAATGTTCCATTTACATAGAATGTTTTTAATAATTGTTTGTCCATCAGAGATGTGCTCCACAAATAGCACACGCTGAAGTCACCTGGGTGCAGCTCTGTGTGCTCGGTATAGCAGCTTTTATCGGGATTGCATCAATGATCTCCGGATGTGTACTTTGCTGTTCATACAAAAAGTAAGTAGTATTATCGTTGTGCCTATTTTGTCAGTCTAATGGTGTTATTTTCATAACAGATGGCATAGGATTAGGTGATAATAAATCAAGACTGCATGCAAGATGCCATAAGCTCGAACGAATCAAATATGGAAGCTTTAAGTATAGTGAAATTTTATGAGTAAACAGGTAAATATTCACTGGACAATTAGGGGGGGGGGAGTTCTTACATCTATAAGACAGTATTTATTGACAGTTTTGTAAATTTGTAATAAATTTTGTAAAACTTTTTGTAAATAGAATTAATTAATTTTGTACATAAATAATTATAATAGAAAAAATTGTGATAATAAATATACATTTTTTCCTATAATACATGTTTTTTTTTCTATTAAAGCTCATGATTATAAAAAGTATTTCATATTCAAATTTATACTGTAAGATATAGTTGTTGGATACAAAAAGATAAACTTGAACATAATAAATTAAATATCACATTGAGCTAAAAAAATACACTTTATGCTAAAAGTATACAAAGTGATTATATTACATACATTTAGATGTTATTATTAATGATTTTAGAGTTTTTTATACATAAAAACTGATTGGGCAGTAACTTACTCTAATACTTCTTTTTACTCTAATAATTTGTGACTCTTTTTCAATCTATTGAATAAAAAATTGCGATTCCAGAAGTAAATTTATTTTAACATTGAAACATTTTGTGACATCAAATCTAGCCTATTATTTGTATATCTCAATACCCAACAATTGGGGTGATATGTAATTAACATCCACTAAATTTTTTATTGTAAACTATGAAGAATACAACAAACATATATACAGGTATTTTTTATGTACAAAGGGCGAGGTATGTATATGTACATTTATGTCTATTCTACCATTGACAAATATGAGAAATAATTGTCAAGAATATGTGAAAAACCTTTTGCTTGAAACCATATGATAGCATAATATAGAATTCTTGAATATTAAAATATTTAGCAAGTCTTTTATCTACATATATTCATTTCAATTATGGAGAAGGTAATTTTTTATGTAGAAAAATAACTAGACACTAGGCCAACATTTCATTTATGGAATAAATTGCCATTTGGTAGTTTCGGTCATATTGGACTATGTGTATTCCCCAAAATGTTCTTTCAACCATGTTTTAGATATTCAGTTTTTGTATTTTATCAGTCTGAAAACCAAATCGTATTGACATAATAACAGAGAAGCTCATGACTGAAGATGGAGCCACCTGACATACCAAAACAGCAAGGATGGGCACATTAGGATGATCAGACTACAGGTTCATCATATCCAGATTTCGAGAAGCAATTTTTAACTTAATGAAAAGCAGTGGTCACAATGAAAAAATAATTTTCATATCTCAATATAAAAAATCTATACAACCATGTATCTATAAAAAGCAAAGATTTTTCCAAAATACACTCAACCTCATTAATTAAGGACAATTTATTGAATATACAATGGTGAAACATTAGGAACTTATACATAAAAGTTTAAGATTAAAACACTTTCAGAAGAGATCATAGTTCTAGTTTAGACTGATTGTACAGGGTTTGAGACCGTTTTTCATTGTTGAGGTCCTTTTCCAGTCGAAACGCGTACTCTCAAAGCCACTTAACTCCCTCGTCAGGGGGTCTGTGTGCTGTGAGCTCTGCTTCTTTATACAAGGGGCTCTTAGCCTCACTTGAAATTCCCTTTTGAACTTTTCCTAAAATGAAAATATTCAATTAGCTGCTTTAATTTGCACAATTTTTTTTATTACATACGTTGTAGATGGCATAGATGAATGGGTTGCAGCAGCTGTTGCTCATGGCGAGCCAGTCGAAACCGAAGAAAAATATATTGATAAATCTATAACTAAATACAGAAAAAATGAAAAAGTTTGTAAAAAAAAGTTGACTCAATATGAGCTTACTCGTTAATATCTGTGATGCCCTGGAGTACTTTATATGTTTGCAATGGTAGCCAGCAGAGGCCAAAGAGAACAACGACGATAACCAACATTTTGATGACCTAACAGCAAATACATTTTTATTGTTCAAAAGAATCACAATATAAATTATACTAAGTTCTGATTTTTTTTTTAAATTAGTAGAATGTGGTATCAACCACAAACCTTCTTTTTGTTGCGCATTATATTGGCATCTCGTTCTGATTGAGCGTTGCCAGGGGCTGTTGCACCCCAAAGTGACAGGGACATCCTTGTGTAGGCGAAACTGATAACTATCAGTGGTATCAAGTACTGCAAGAGGAAAAGTGCGACATGGTACCAGAACCACACCTCCTCTGAAATATTCACATTGTCGCAGAAAGGTTGGCCATCTGCAAGAAAAAAAAACTTTATTATTAGTAATTTATTTATTTATACACCATTTTATTACAATAATTACAAAAATTAAAGAAAAAATGTATTGAAATATGAAATATTCTGGATTTGAGATATATTGGTTAAATGGGTAGGACCACATACCCAATAAATTCTCAAATTCAGAGTGTATCAAAATTGATTGATTACAAAATAACATATTAAACTTTCAAACAAAAATAATAATAACCATTATAATATGATTATAACATAAAGTATAATTTAGATACAAAACGTGAGATGCGGTCTGGTGAAAAAGGAGGGAGTGACATCATATTTTATGGATATTATAGATAATTGATTCTTGTTTTATTATTATAATAGGGATTAATAAAATTAATAGTGAGTTTTGGTTTCTTATATACAATTTTTCATTAGAAGCAACATTTGATATATATAAATTATGGTTTTGCGTGTATTAAACTAGTTTTTAAAAGGAATACTATTTCTTACACAGCAAGCAAATACAAAACTGGAATAACCACTTCCAATTAGGGCATCTTCGGTCTATACTCGATGAAAGCCCGAGACGGATTCAATTAAAAATATTAATATTAGCAAAGGCTTCGGGATGTAATGAAGGAGGGGTTTCTTGGATGTGAACACGTGCAGATGTGATAAGGGAGGAATGTGAAGGGTTGCAACAGATAAGGGTCTAGCGTGTACGTAACATATATGAATAGAACTAACATCCCTCTTAATATAATTATTATTACAATATATGAAAATAGGAATGAGCTGATTAAACCAGTTAATATTCTAATGTGAATAGATTGAAAAATTAGAGTGATCCCTATTCTCAAAGAGTGTTTAGATTTAATAAAGTAAATTGAAATTAGGAGTATTATAATTATGATAATAATTAATGAGATATTAATATCTTGTATTAAAGCTTTAAGGGTTCAAACCCTATCTGCGATTTTTAAAATCACCTGCTTAAAGCATGCATTACTATGTATTGTGTATTTTACACTTCTCCAATTTTTTTCCTCCTACGGGGAAAAATTATATTTTTCTTTATTTATTTTGGTTTTAGTTGCCAACAAGTAGTTTAATTAAAATATTAGTTTTGGAGATTAATGTTTGACAAAAATTCGTCTTTTGTTGAAGTTTTAAAGGTTTCCCTATCTATGATTTACAAGATCATTATTTTTTTTAAACTATTAAAACTAATTTTTGTTTTTTTATCATATTTATTTATAGTTGGTTTGTTTGCTTATTGTAATGTTTAAAAACAGACCGCATCTCACGATTTCTGAATAATTATCGATTAACGGTCACTAATCACCACACATTAGATACACAATTTGAATACAAAAATATTATTTGGAATGTGACTACTAAGTAAAAATAATTATAAATATAATTAAGTAATTATGCATACATAATTTGAATGTGAATGAATATGAATATGTATACAGGGTGTTACACTGTTAAATGTAACTGCATAAAAACGTAGTACAGGGCTACCAGAAGGAAATTTTTATCTTGACTCATTCCTGAGATATTAACATTTTTAGACTAAAATCACATTTTTCCAAATAAAATCGTAATTCCTCAATTTTAGCGTCATTAAAATACAAATCTGACCTTTATTTCGCAAACTACATTAAATTTTCCGCAAGATAACATTTCCGTTGAAAAATTCGCGCTTCCGAATACTCAGCAGGTGCTCAAAAAATAACAATTGGCAAAACCCAGGTTTTTTTAAGTACTTCATTGTGGCTCGTGCAATGATTTCCATCAAACTTTTCGGGGATTTCACCTAAGTTGCCTTATTTTATAAGTATTCCAAGGATATACCCCCTTTTACATTTTTTAGAACTTTTTTTAGTGAAATCTCCTTTGCAAGATTGAAAAAACGTGATTCGAACCCATGGTGGGCAGAATCCTAAGAACATCGTAAAAGTCATATTTATAATAAAAATGATTATTTGGTGATCTTGAGATGCGGTCTGGTGTGACGTAGGTCATAGTAAAACATTTTCTTTATCGTGCCAACGTTTCGATCTTTATCGAGATCATCTTCAGGGCTCAAAGTGTTTGTTCAGTAGATGTGTCACTATTATGTGTCGTGTTGAGAGTCTCACACATTTAAAAAAACATTTATTAGTTGATAACAAAAATCAGATCCATTTCCCTTCCTTCTGACCCTCATGCCATTGCACCTGATTTCAATTTTCTGTATGAGCTGTTCCCTTGTTCGATGGGTGTGCTTTCAAAGTTCCCCACATGGAAAAATCTAATGGGTTCACATTAGGTCTAGTGAGGTACTGATCACATCTTATTGGACATTTAATGTATATTCAACGGTATAAACGGATTTGTCTAAAACCTTTTAGTTTTGGAGTTATCATTGTTTTTTTTGAAGCAAGGTCCTGAAATCTTAAAAATTCAGAAAAAGTGAAATAACCCCGAAACTGCTGAGATAAGGACCATAGTAAATTAGTACTTTTTGGTTCCTTTTTGAATGTAGAATCTACTGGCAAAGTTTGTAACACGAGTAGCCAAACACCCTGTATAATCGTGAATTCCTCAGTAGTAAATCAGTATTAGAAAAATAATCAAATAAGGGTATAACAACTTATCTTTATTTTCAAAATAGCGGAACAATTAATCAAGAAATGAATTTTAAAATATGTTTGTGTTGCTCGTACTCCATTCAAACTTGACAATTGCATATTGTACGCTTTGTTTAATTTGATCTAACAATTATTATTTATATTTTACTTAATTAACTGATTTCTGATACTGGATTTGAACCCTGGACCTTTACCTGACAGCAATGAGAACCCGAACCGGCCGCTGTCGCTCTCCCTAAAAGCTGAATTCTTATTAACCGAATTATTATTATTATTTTACATTTTCGCAAACACGGCACGTTCTCCACATTTGAAGTTGGGCAAGCACTTTATCAGGGGGTCAACAAGTATAACATTTACACAACCCCTCCTCCAGCCAATAAAGCCACAAAACACACTGATGAGAAATGAAAATATTAGTAGGTCCTTTCGGGGAAAAAAGGTCTTTAATGCTATTATTACGAATGAACATTAAATCAAATGTATTCGAAACTGACCCGCATCGCTGTAGCCCAATTTCGCAATTCAAGTTGGACATGTATATATTATTTGTACTGGTATCAAATCATCATAACATGTTTATATAACATATTGTAAACTTGTTAATAATAAGTTGAATGAACGTAAAATGCACGAGATTCGTGAGTTTTATTCAAAGTTATTTAATTATGATGGCTTGAAGTGTTTTATAATTAATAAATTATAGATAATAAATTTTAATCTATTGCTAAAAGAATTTCCCGTGTTTTCGTAAATTTTCTTACAAACCATAATAATTAAATCCTTTTGATTAAAACTCATGAATTTCTGATATCGTTTAATTTGGTTTACATTAAAATAGATATGTGGTAATTAATTGAACGATAAAAATAAATACAGTTGTAAATAAAAAACAATTTTTTTTCCTTGAATGTATAATGTAGTGATATGACCCCTCATCTGCGACACCTAAAAATTAGTTGGACGCTACCTATAATCTTTTGATGCAAAGATTTAATTATTAATTATAATATTTATATAATATATATATTAATAATTAATTATAATATATAGATTAATTCATTGTGGTAGATAGAGTTTTTTATTCAGTAAACAGATTTTGTCTGTATCCAAAACCTAGCGTTGGTTAAGTTCGACTTGCTCAATCTTGTTAGATATTTTTGTTTCAACATAGATTTATTTATAAATATACAAGTTTTTTGAACAATTATAGATTGTCGACTAGTCCCTCGATAGCGATATGAGTTCAAACTCCACGCCAGTGCCGTGCACGATGCAGACGATCAAAACAAAAGGGCCATTTAAGGGTGCCTGCGGTTGGCATCAACGTGTTCTGCAAATTCACAACGGGAACAATCACGTCATAAATCCACCAAAAGTTCAGATGGCGTTGACCGATAAAGACGTTAATAAGTAGTCGTTCGCGATATATCGAAAAATTAATTGGCGGTTACAATTTATGTACAATAATTAAAACGATAAAACTCCGGGTTCAATGGGTAGATTAGATTTCCAGATCTACGATGTGGGCGAGAGGGAGAGAAAAAAAACGAACATTCGGCCAGTGTCGCTTTGAATATTAAAACTTCAATCGACGTCTAAACTTGATTTGGTACAGATGAAAAACGGCTTCACCCAAATTATTATCGATATGAGTTTCCTGTTGGCTTTTTCAAACAAAAACGGATGTCTATAAAATTTCCATCTATTAATACTATTTCATAATTTTTTATTTTTAGGTTTAATTTATTTGCAATTAACACACTACATAAGATTGTTTTAAAGGGTGCAGATTGTTTTAAATTTTGTTTTTCAGAAGTCAAATACACTACAGCAATTAAAATAATGTCATCAAAACAGTAAACCATTCAATGGTGCCATATAACCTCGTAGTTGAAACACCCTCGAAAAAAACCTTATTAATAAATCTTCACATCGTCATAAATATATATTACTCAACGAATTGCTATGAAATGCGATCCCTGAATATCGTTGAAAAACTGAACAAGTCGTTTTTATCAAAAAAACCTTAGATTCGATGTTTAGGAATTGATTTTTTTTACTACTAGACTCTTGGTGTAAAAAAAAGGACAAAATTTAACACAGACAAATCCACCCACATTACCTTCCCTCTCTGCAAAAAGATCTACCCCTTGTTTTCTTAAATCATATTCCCCTCCCAACTGTTGACAAGGTGCGGTACTTCGGACAAACGCCTGACGTGGAATCCTCACACGCGACTGAAACATCAGGCCGTTATGAAACGATATAGAGGTCTCGCACGACTTCTTGACAAACTTTCTAATTTATTTCTCAAAAATAAAAGGCCGCTTTACAACACTAAAGTTAAGAACTGGATGTGTGGGTTCAGCCAACGTTCCGACATCCACCGTATTCAAACTGCCCAGTGCTTAATACTACGAAAAATACTAGCTCAATTTTATGTATCAAACTTAACTACACATACAGACTTACATATCCCTTTCGTTCAAGATGAAATCCGTTCCCGTTACCGTAAATTTCATAAAAAACTCCAACTACCGTAAATCAGCTATCAGAAACGACTCTCCTCAAACCCCCCCCCCCCCGCCTACTGAACAGAAAATCGCCGCGAATCTTCTAGGAAGTGATGATGATGATGATGATAATGAAAGTGATAATGACACAAGTATCAATTAAATAGGCAATATTTTAGTAACATTGGAGTAATACCAACGGGTGTTTTCTCCTCTCTTCCTTTTAATTTTGTATATATATTATCTAGCTCACGGTTACTTGTTGTACTTGAAGGTAGTTTCTCTACATGTTTCTCTACATGCAGAACACATATGCGTGCTTTGGCCCAAAAGTAAGTATCCTTGTTTGAAACTTGCATGGCATATTCATAAATGGGTGAGGTTGACCAGGGATGAATCCTCTTCTACGAGTCAGATCCTCCGAGGGCCATCCATCAGAGACGTCAGAAATTGCCTGCCACTTTCTTGTAATCATGTTTTTCAATGCATTAAAACTTGCACAGTGACAATATGTAACCCATGAAGTTTCTTCGCGATTATTGCTTGTTGAGACTATTTCCTACTGAAAAATAAATTTATTATCCTTAACATCATAGAATTGACGTTAATGGTTACAATATTTTTCAACAAAAACAAAACAAAAATGAAATTTGTGCTTTTTGTGTCCAAGTGTCCAAGCAAATGTGCCCACTTTTTTTTTCTTTTTTTTTTTTTGTTCTACAATAAATAGGAAAAAAGTATGAATTGAGATGACAGTAGTTTGTTCATGTAAGGTCCATTTATTTTTTTCGACCTCGATTCGACGTAAGTGGAATTCAAATTTTTAATTTTAAACGAGAACCCCTTATTTTCACATTTTTCTTTGAAACTAGATTTTTCCGCGAGAAAAATGAGCACTGGGTTATTAAAACCGGTCCAATAGAACCGGAGATATTATTTTTTGAAAAGAGCCGGAATGGTCTTCTAGTGCGTTAGGTCGAAACCACTTTATTTTGCCTTCTACTGCAAATATTTTGAAGAGGAGTGGAAAATCAGCCAAATTAGAGAGAAATGTCCGAAAGCTTACAAATCCCATAAATTTCGTATTTTGTATCGTTTCCTCGACCAATACCTGATCTTACCCACGACTCATTCACCGAAATACCTTGGTTGCGGTTCAAATCCCTCCACCCTTCTCAACCGGGGTTGGGACCAGCCCAGCGGAATTAACAATTAGTCATAACTATTGCTATCGGTGAATAAAAGGTTAAATAGCAAATCAAAGGAATGTAGGAACTAAACGTGTTAATGATGCTTATTTCTCGTTTCCAGCTTGGATATATATATATATATATATATATATATATAAACTATTGTAATATATATATATATATATATATATATATATATATATACACATTAAAATTATTGGATTTTTTCTCATAAAAAGATAGGATCTTGAAGAGAAATTTACCGCAAATCTGAAACCGAATGACTAAACATTTGGATAGGTTGTTCGTTTGCCTTCCATCTAAACGTTGGCTAATTATCGACAGACTGTTTATACAGCACGGTCTATTAATGGGAATGTTGAGAGAATAGACATTTCTTGTTTTTTGCTTACATAATTTTGTAAACCAATTAGCGTGAATTCTACGATGTTAAGGATAATAATTCAGTTACAGACTAAAACAAAATTGTAGCCATATAGAAGAGGTCAAATAAATTTGGATCAGGTTTTGAATGCCACGTGGTGACGGATAAACAACAGAGGGTACCTTTAGCTTTAAACACCCAAGGAATTACCTACTAAATTTTACTAAAATTTGAAATGAACTTAATTTTTAATCGGACAAAGACATATTGTTGGTGGATCTGCGAATTGTCGAAAATTTTTCAAGTTTGATTGTGTCTCTTCCAAACACTGAACACGCCTTAGCAAGTGATTTGAAATATGGTCGGTAGTGATTATCCTGGTATATTAGATGGATTATCGCCACTGTGTTCAGCATTTCGCCATCTTAAAGCGAGGATTGGCTGACTGGAATGATCTGTAACGACCACCTGAAAGGTTAATCACCTCACGGAAAAATCTCACAAGTGATTTATAGATAAAAACCAACCAACAACACAAAAATGTGTGGTGTTTAGTGACCGTAAGTTGAGGTTTATTTCGAGATCGTGAGATGCGGTCTGGTTAGAAAAACATTTTCTTATCGTGCCAACGTTTCGATCTTTATTGAGATTATCTTCAGGGCCTGGGATTTATAAACATTGTTTAAATTATACAAATTCATGTAGGATATGAAAAAAATGAATTTATACAATGCTAAACATTTTAGACAAGTATTTGTACTCACTCGAATTGTTTGTTTTCTGTGTAGATGTGTCATTATTGTGTATCGTGTTGAGTGTGCCAGTGAGATATTGATGTTTTATGTTTATATACGTTGGATTTTGAAGGGGTTGAGACGGAAGTAGGGATAGAAAAACATTTTTATATAAGGAGTCGGCTTTTTTGAGATGAAAGGATCCGAAAATGGGAAAAAATGCTAGTGGTTCGGCCTGATTATTCTTTCAGAATTATTTAGACGGGGATAATTGGGGAAAGGAAAGCCAAATTATTGAAGAATTAGACTATGTCGAAATGTTTGATGTGAGGAATGTAGTGTTTGGTTTATATGTTTTGTGTAATTTGATGATCATATATCTATATTATCGATATTGAATTTGATTAATGATATTAGCGTAGCTGCGGCTGAGATTACGACCGTGTGTCCGTTCTGAATTGATGCTGTATTTATCCCTGTTGATGTAAACCATTTCTAAAAAGTTACGTTTATGTTTGTTTTGTTCTGGGTGTAATATTTTTGGATGTTTTTCACATCCTACATGTATTTGTATAATTTAAACAGTGTTTATAAATCCCTGGTGCTGAAGATGATCTTAATAAAGATCGAAACGTTGGCACGATAAAGAAAACATTTTTCTAAAAGCTACGTAACACCAAACGGCAACTCACGATCTCCAAATAATAGCCAACAACACAGAATTTAAATGGCAGGATTATTTCCTTTTTGTTTATGGCATTAACAACATTACATATATAATTTAAAGGTGAAAATAAGACATTTTGTATTTATTAATATAATATTTTTATGGATAAAAGTTGACAAGTCCAAACGTTAAACAGTAATTTGATACGACTCCAACGGGACCAGTATCATTATAAATTAATAAGGCCAGATTATAAAAGTTAACGTGTGTCAAATTAGTAACTTTTAGGTTTCTCGATCGGTTTTGTGAATACGCAGTCTGAGAGTGAGGCGCGTACATTAATATCTCAACATTTCTAAGCTGTTGAAAAACTGTCTAAGTTTGCTTTATTAAATCACAGAGTCAGGTGTTTGTGAGTGATGTCAATCGAAACGTTTAACTTCAACGGCAGCCTTACCTTTGTCGACGACTCTCAGAGCGTACATGAATGGGGCCCCCATGATTCCGCCTATTATCCAAATGAACGTGATGACCATTTTGAACTGCAGCCTCGAGACACGTGCTCTGCACCTGAAAACGTGGAGTATCAGCTCGGAAAATCATGATTTACAAGCTAAACCGCGTTTCCATGAGCAATGAATTAAACCAATGTTTCCAAAACTTTTTTGTGCCATGTCCCACTTAGACTTTTACCCTTCTGCCCCACCCATCAATCACAGCGTACATAATTTATAATATTAAAATGCGCACTAAATAAAGTTAAAATTTATTGGGAAAATCGTTACAGAATAATAGGTAAAACACAGTAAGCAAATATTTTTAAAACCCTGAAAACCATGTTTCGCGTCTAGGGCGTCGGAACGAATATAAGAGTTAATAAATTATTTGATCTGGAACTCATTTTGCGATGTTCTTAAATTTTTGAAATAGCTTTCAATTAATTAAAGTTTTTAGTTGAGATAAAAAGTCAGTGTCACGAGCGGGATTCGAACCCCGACCTTCGGCTAGATATCGTGACTTCGATCCACGCGGACACTAACTTCCAATCTCAACCCTACCTTTTCAGAAAATTCCTCTCCTTTTTGAGATCCATGTTGTATATACTTTTGATTATATATTTCATGATGTGCTCAAAATCAAAATTGTAAAATAAAGTATTTCTATAAACTAAAAACACACTTTCATAAAAAGTGCTGTTTATTTATTTACAAGTATCGATTTCGGGGACCTGACCGCTCCCCCTCTTCAACTGCTTTTACTTAAAACTAAACCAAAAACCATTAAATATTAAAAAACTTTTCCATGAAACTGGGCAAGTAGGAAGAAGCCAAACGTGGAGCCCTTTGGGGAGGTTTGCAAAAAGCGGGTAATATCAAAAGAGTAGTCACGAGTCAGTGGGCAGTAAGTTGATGGAAAAAATCATCAAATAGCGAGCTAAACCTTTGTTATATTTTTATGAAGTGACTGAAATTTGGAAGGGGAGTGTGGCTTTGGCTTAAATAACCTTTAGTAGATTTTAAACAGTAAATAAACATTGTTGGGGAAGTGTGGATGATAAGAACTCCAACGTGTGTATAATAACAATTACTCACTCTCAACACGACACACAAGAATGATACATCTACACGGAAAACAAACCTGCAGATGATCTCAATAAAAATCGAAACGTTGTCATAATAAATGAAATGTTTTTCTACGTCACACCAGACCGCATCTCTCGATCTCCGAATAATCATTTGCTAACGGTCACTAAATACCACACATTTCTTGGATACAAAGAAAACCCAGAGAGAGGACTTGTAGCAACGACAGGCAATGACCAAGTTCTCCTCGAAAGAAGGATCGCATGCATAGAACTAAGGAGCTAAGAAGGTACAATAAGCCAGAAGTCGGCAGAGCTTGGGCAACTTAAATGCCCACTTCCTACTCTTCTTTCATTGTAATCATCAACATCATCATGGGAAATTATACAAATCGGCTTGAGTTATAAATATAATCCGTAATCTCAAGCTCAAGTCCATTTGTATTTTTTGTGAGGTAACAAATTTTTCAACTATTCGCGGATCATACAAACCCCAAAAGAATGGGCAAACTTCCGAAATTCCAAACCAAAGTCACAACCTAATAATAAAAAAAAAGTAGTCTTTTGACAGCAGAACTAGAAATGTCTGTACAAAAGAAAGTGCTAAAGGGTGCAACTAAGAACGAATAGAAGAATAAAATCCATTTTTTGATATGTATTATTAATACGAGTAAGTATAAATTAATTCTCCAGCACCAAAGTGTAATGTTGTTGGAAGAGAATACCATAATAATTATAGACATATTATTACAGAATCAAATATTATAAATGATTTTTCTATTGCCAATAAAAAAGTATTAGAGGTTTCTGAATAATGTTTAGCTTGTTAATTTCAAATTTTGGCAATCTGATAAACCACCGGCTGCGGGAAATTGAAAGAACGATAGCATCACGTCCTCGAGGGGTGTCGAATTAATTTCCAGAGGGCAAGGCAAATCCCAGTTTTTGGCCAAGTTTGGCGCAATCTTAACTTAGACCAAATGTCTTATATGAATTAAACCATTAGCGATAAATTGAGAGCGGATCAGTGAGCCCGATCCCTCGGGTCAAAAGATCCTGCCACCCTTTGACATTAGAATTCTGTGGAAATCCAAAGGAAAACCCACTTTGGCGAAAGCAACGTCTCCTCCTTAATGACGCCAACCCAATTTCCCGTCAGCCTAATAACCAACCTTCAGCCAGCTATTTTCAGTCGTTGTCGATTTTACCTCCCTTCCGGTGGTTACCGGATATTGTTTCTTACAAATTGCGAGCTTGTTTCAGGCCGAATTGTTACCAAACCGAGGATAGACGTCTTTTAATTTCTCCCTAATTTGGAAAATTCAAGTGATTAGGGTCAGGAGATCAAATTTTACTATCTGTTAAACTTAATTTTTAATTATTCAGTATTGTTAAACGTTGAACATTAATAGAAGTTAAATCCATTACAGTTCGTGGTCCGATTGACCAATTAACATTTTTCAATTAATTTTATTTATGAAAGGTATTGGTTGAGATAAAAAAAGTCAGTATCACGAGCGAGGTTCGAACCCACGACCTTCGGCTAAATACGCCGCTCTTCTACCACTTGACGCTATATCCGCTAATGACGCTGATGTCCTTCTTTTTCTCTTTGTTCGAGCGTATTTAATGTATTAAACTGCAGCCATTTGAGCGTCTCGATCTGGTTATTGACTCTCTGCTTTCAAATGTATACTACATTAATATCCTAAAAATGGTAGCCTCTTGTTTGTACCCCAGGTAGTCAAATACAGAATAGTAACAAACACATAATATATCACACATCATCACAAAAATATATGTCTGGTCACATTCACTCACCCCATAGTACTCCATATTCCTCGGGGCGGGGTTATAAGCAACCCCTTCCATTCACGCTAATAAATTACATTCATTTCAATAAATTAATACAAACACAACACTCAATAGAAACATAAAAGTCTGGCCACATTCGCTCCCCCAGAGTACTCGATATTCTTCGGGGCGGGGTTAAATAACCCCTTCCTTTCACGCTAATAATTACATTCATTCCAATTAATTAAAATAAAGCCAACACATGAGGTTCCCCCATACTTGGTCATCCTAAAAAGGAATCTGAGGATCTTTAATGTCCGTACCTAGCCTATTCGGCCTTATCGGACGTTTTGAGTCTCAAGATGAGACCTCACGTACCTCCGCATACGACAGGATGGTGTTATTGCCGTAGCATTGGTGTAGAGGCAGCTCAGCCCCGAAGGGCCAAAACAACCTCGCTCCCCGCTTGCCCATTCCTAGTGGCCGGGTCTTCATTGAGCATCAGACCGTATGCCGCTCGCAAAGGGTTACCTAAGCCGAAATACATCAGCTCGCCCTCCCAGCACAATTATCGCGTCCCCAACGCCTATATGCTGCCGTCCGATCCACCGTATCCCGTGAGGCCGGGAGTATAACGGTGGTCATATGCAAGTTTCGTGCGAAGGTCACAGGTAGAAGACAGCCTCTTCTCTATGTTCCCACCAGGGGCGTCACCACGTACCACTACGAATCCATTCCCAGTGTAACAGGGGCAACCAAGGGTTGGGAGGGGGTCACAGGATGGAATGAAGGAACCTGGATTGAGAAAGGGATGTGGATGAGGCCTCGAGGTGGACCGTTTCGGGTCTCGAGCCTCAACCACACTATACCACCCGTTGTCGCTGTAGTTCCACATTGAGTGGGCCACAACTCCCTGGGTGGGTGATAAAGCCAGCACAAACACAACAATCACACATGAAAAACACTGTATACATTTAAAAATCCCTATAGCCCTGAGGTACACGAACAGGGATCTGTGCCCGCTGCCGTGCCCCATGCAAAGGTCCAATGATATGCAAAAATATTGTCTATACGTCAACCCTCCTACAATTGAAAAGGTGCTCGACCGTTATTCTAATAAAATAAATAACGGGCACCTACGCAGTCACTATCCGGACAGAAGGGGTTCGTGCGTTATTCTGGTCTGACCTATGCGTAGTCTGGTCAGTATCCGCATCTTTCTTAACCTGCTACAGTTTAGCAGCTTTATTTCTATTTCTACGAGCCCAGCGGTTTTTCCATTCTCTTTTTGCTGAGATTGAAATTAATAGTTTTAGGTCCGCTCCATTCTTGCGAAAAACTTACATTTACTCTCCAGACGTCACAAACAATCACTTCAGAGGTTTATATGAAAAACTATTAATGACGTTGGAGCACAAGACGGCCTATATCACGGGTCGATCCGAAAATCGTTAGCCTTTTTATTAGTCCATATATAATTTTGCAACCTAATAACCAACCCATTTTAATTATTAAAATAAGAAATTTTGTTCTTTTTTGTGGAAACTTTTTACGAAATTTTGTTGTGTCTATAAATTGTTTAGCAGACTTGGATTTCTTATTGAGCCCAGTCTATAATATTTTCAGACATGGTAGAATTTTATGCCATTCTTTGTCAATCATTAATAAGCATAACAATTTTTAGACATAAAATGAAAAATATAATAATGCTAAAATATCTTTCTCACTTGAGAGGATGCAATATGGCCTTGTAACGATCCAGAGCGATGGCTGAAAGCGTCAGTACCGACACGGATATGCTTAGGCTTTTGACGAACGGGCAGAAGGCGCACATGAAGGCAGGCAGAAGCCACTTCTGAAGAAGAGCCGCTTGAAACTGTAACATAAATATATTACATAAAAATTATGATTTTATTTTTTACATAGGCGTTGAAGTATTATTAAAAGTAAGGGAAAACATCCTAGTTATGGAAAGCAGGCACCATTCGTATATCTCCAAAATATATTAAATTGTCATTAATTTATTTTGTGAATTAAATATTAAAGCAATCTTGGAATGCCAATATCAGATTCGTCCTTCACCTTTGTTCGTTAAATTAAGTAATATATTAATTGTATGTTTAAAAAAATATTCCGTTTGAAAAATAAGAAATGATGTTTGAGCTTATTTAAATTACGACACACGTTGGCTTTAAATTCTACACCTGAAAAATTCTTATAAAATAGTTTTCTTTTTCTCCATAATTTTTTTATTAAGATTTATTCAATTAAGTTTTATTCAAATACCTTGTGGCAAATTGTTTGCAAAAATGTTTACTTTGTGATAAATTTACAAATGCATAATAATTAAATTAACCCAGCACCCGCGGGTATAGGCCGTGAGAAAGGGGCCGTGGACGGTACTCATTATCAGTTTAGGTAATTTGAGGTAAAAAAAAGTATATATATATATATATATATATATTATACACGAATGAGACCAAGAATGCTTCCTTGTGCGATGTCGACTCGTGGCGGTTTGAATTTGGAGACTCGTTGCCGTACCTCTAAGAACATAGAAGTTTCAAAAATGGAAAATTTCTCGTGCTTACGTCAGGTGTGAGTTTATCTTTCTTTACTTTATATGATTATTCGGAAATCGTGAGATGCGGTCTGGTGTGATGTACGTTTCAGAAAAACATTTTCTTTAGCGTGCCAACGTTTCGATCTTTATTGAGATCATCTTCAGGGCTTGGGATTTACAAACATTGTTTAAATTTAACAAATACATGTTGGATGTGGAAAAAAGTGAATTTATACAATGCAAAAAATATTTTTTATATTCAATCAATTTCTATGTACCGAAAACTAAATTTATTCGTTTAAAAATATGTTTGTAGGTTCATGAATTTTTAAACAAAACCTAGTTGATATTCGTTAGATACACCATATTATATTGTACTGGCACGGTTTGGCGATTTTTCTTTGGCTTGTGTTGGAATAGATTAGTAAACCACAATAATGTCTATATAGAAATTTTTCGTTTTATTTCCAACTTCAATATTTTGTACATATTGTTAAGTGTTAAATTTTGTTCTCTGTCCATGTTTGGAGGATGACAAACCGTTCAAGTCGGACGTTAAAATAACTCGGCTTAAAATTACTCGTCGGCACTAACGTTGAATTATTCATGTTGACTTTAGGACAATCTGGATGGTAGATAAAATTTAAATTGGAGAATGTCCACTAGCTACTGTTAATCCAATAGTGGCCGGACTGTGTTTTCGATGAATAAACATAAAATTTATAGTTTTCCTGACAAACGTAAAACTGTCACAGCCGTAAAAATAAAAAAATGAAATCGTCAAAGGGTGGAACTATTAAAAGGAAACTTAATCCTGTTTTAATTAGCAATAGATCGCAAAAAATAAGAGCGTACAAAACAGTTAATTTTAGGATATTAATGAAATCTGTATTATTAATTTGTAATGATAATCGACAAAAAAAGAGTGTACAACACAGTTAATTTATAGGATATTAATGAAATCTGTATTATTAATTTGTAATGATAATCGATAAAAAAATCAAGCTAAGTTAATTAATCAATCAAAGTAAATTTAATAACATTGAACAAAGTAAATAACAATTTTTTTCTAAACTTGTTATTTACATTGCCTCTCGTTTATATTAACTTTTTTTTAATAAGGAAAAAACATCATCAATATTACGTTTCTAAAGATTTCCTAAAGAAACTTTATGAAAGAAGATATTAGATTACTTCAAAAATATATTGGAAAACTTATTTTCCTCTCTGCCTTTAATACCTGTCAACCTCAAATAATGTTTTTATTTTAAAAATAACAATTAAAACTGGATCACTATCTTGAAAATTTAAATATTGATAAATTACCTATAAATCAAGAGTTGGCATATATAAAAACTAGATAGTTTTGAATGTGATAATTTCAGTATTTCCCTCTTGTCTAGTTAAATATAATTCCATTTCTTTCTAATCTTCTTCTTGCTAATAGATTTGTGATTTTGTGATCATGATGGTCTTTTAAAATAAAATGTTAATGTTGATAACTACTAATATCAAAGATATACTTTATTTAATCATCGGATTTTGGTTAAATTTTTTTAAATTAAAATTATATATAACTTCGATCCACGTTGTGAATTCGCTTATCACTACGTCTGTCTTTGTTGGAATACGCCCAGTGCGAACAAAGTCCATCAAGGTATAGTCTTGAAGAAGAAAGCAAATTCAATGGTTAATTTGTTACTGTCAAGATTTCGACGTATTTTAAGGTCATCATCAGGGCAAAACAATCTTAAATATGCCTACAGATCGCAAATTTACTTGAAACACTGACCAAGACAATAACTCAATAATGTTACAGTCCTTGGCAATGTTTCTACTGTGTTCGTCTTCAAAGAAATTTGAGTTCGCCTGTAAAAAAAAACTTAAATACGCCAATCAGATTGTTTGTCCTGAGGATGACCTTAAACTACCTTGTTACTTTGCAGTAACAACTGAATTTGCTTTCTTCTTCACGACATACTTTGATCTAGAGTGTTCGTGAGTGAAAAAGTGGTCGGTATTTCTAATTCCGACAACATTCAACATGTTAGACCGAAATACATACAACGAAAAAATCTGAATCGCGATGCTTTTATACACAAAAATTAAGATTGAAAGAGCTTTTCAGGCAGAGAAAAATAATGCAATGAATACGGTTTCATGCGTCAGGCACACCAAAATTTATTGTAGATATCAGCATACGTGTATTAGGTTTGGTGATCAACACGAATTAATATACCAAATAGTTATTGTGATCGTATGCATCAGTAATATAAATATATTAAATAAAACGACTTTCTTTCATTCATTATCTCTCTCTTTCTTTCTTTCTTTCTTTCTTTCTTCCTCTCGTTCCTGCTAATAATTTCTTGGCTACTGGGATTTATTTATAATTATCAATGCAGCGATAATGGGATCACTATATTATCTAACTAGAAAATAAAATAAACCTACAGTAAATTGTAATTTTAAAACTTTTCTTTTTAACGGATATTTTACTATGGTAATGAAGAACATTGTTTTTCATTTCTTGCCAATTTTCTTTCTATCCTTTTAGGATTCAAAATACACGCTAATTAAAGTATGTCAGATAACTAACGATGTTTTTGTTTTGTGCAAAGACGTACCACCAGATTCCCGCTTAACGCTCTATTCCCCAAACAAGGCGATCGATCATAATAATTTAGGGGCAGTTTGGGACACAAATGACCTGCGCCTTTCCGGGCCTCTATTTGACTCCGACTAATGGCATCGGACATCTTAACACCAGTGCCGGTGCCCAATTTTGGACCAAGTTAGTTGGGAAATCCCTTGGGATTAATATCGCCGTCAACTGAATTGATCAGATTTTGGAAATAACTGGGAAATTATCGCTGAACAGATCCAACTTATCCATCTTCGTGAATAATTATAATCTATAAATTCAATTGGTAACGAATGTGTTGGTTAGTTGCAATTTCAACATATTTGAATACTGTATTTGTATGTATGATGCGCCTAGGCGTGTGCTAATTTGGGCGTTAATTTCGCCGACTTCAATTTCTATCCAACTAGATTGACCACCCCGCGAGGATAGACAGACAAAAATGATCAGTCCAAATCACAGGTTCATCAGTCACAGACCACTCAAAGAAATTTTAAAAAAATATTAGTTGAAGTTTTATGAAAAGTAATTTAATCGTAGTTAAGTTTAGGGCAGCAATTTTTTTTTCTCCCGGTCTTACCAACAATTATGGTTGCAGGAACAATAAATACCCAGAAATATCCTAGCTGGATAAAACTCTTACGTAAATCCCAAATCCTCCCCCTACGTCCATGAAGCACTCTCTAGTTTCTAGTGGGAACCGGATGTATGTACCGAATGAAAAGTAACAACCACCAACAAAAACAAACCTATTACAGTTCGGGTAGTAGTGAGGGTTCCATCGACCAAAGTCATGAAGACTAACTCCCTTGAGGGGATAGCTAATATCTCAGCTGAAAAGGTGTTTTATGCCCGACTATCGGCCCTACTTAAGAAAGGAGTGAGTACATTGAGACCAAAACTTCCTTAAGACAGCTGCCCAACCAACGCGCTTGTCAACTAAACTCCGTGCATAGTGTGCATACGGAGAAAGGACAATTATGGAATGGACATGGACGATAAGTCCCTGATAGAGCTGAAAAAGCTATATATGTCCCCTTACTTTGGTGTCAGAAGACCTAAATTCAAATTTTAATTTAAAATTTATATAAAAAAAGAGGACGATGTAGAGAAAGCGAAATGCCAATTGTTCCGGTTGTAAAATAGGCTAATGTTAGGCGAAAGGGTAGAGGAAAGAGGAAAGCACAGACACTGGATTACATCAGCCCACTGAAAAGTCATATGCCCAGAAGTGAATAAAACAAATAAAAATACAAAATTACTCTTTTGCCTGGTACCAGGGTACACAAGAGAGTGGGCTGATAATTTGGCCATGGAAGGTATTTGAGGACACTTATTGGAACAGGATCCTTGGTTCCTTTTGTAATATACCAAACTGCCAAAAATATGGATTCATCAGATAATGGATTAAAAGTAAGTCCTTCGTTCAATGGCAAAATAGCCCAGGATAGAGGAATGCGAAAAAGTTGATCAAAGGACTAACACAGATACTAACGACAGAACTAGTAAATCTAGGACGTGGTAGAACTAGAATGATAGTTGGACTGCTAACTGGACACTTCAGAGATATATGCAAGAGACCCGGACTGTACACAAACGTGGGCACATTGCCAGAAAGAAGAAGAGACAGTGAACATGTCTTTTGATAGTAGCGAAGGCTTTGTAACCC